TGGAAGAAGGGCTCGTTGCAGGGATGGATGTTCTGACCTCCCTCTGGAACTCATCCATACGTGAAGTGAAATTCAGTGTTAGCTCTTCAATTGACTTCTTAAGCAAATCCATTTTTAATATTCAATTAAAGGTTACTTAAAGGTCAATGTCAAGTGACAGTGAAGTGGCAAAATAAGTTTTAAGTTGTGCAATGAAAAACAAATCAATACCTGCCTTGACAGGGCAGTACTCAGAATAGACCACATTCCGAGATTTGTTTCTATCGTCAATGCATACTAATTCTCAGTTAGACAATGTACAGAAAATGCACTATTTAAAGAGTTATTTTTCTGGTGAACCGGAACAACTTCTTAGGCAGATTCCAATTGCTGATTCAAATTATACGAGATGATGGACATTATTAATTTCGAGATATATCAATAAGAAATTCTTGTGTCATTCTATTATCAAAAAATTGTTAAGTCAAAAAAATTTTAAAGGGATTGATTGACACCACCACTGACTGTTTAAGTGCGTTAACAGGCATCCGAGTCGATGTGCGCTCCTAGGATATACTTATAATACACTTGTTAACCCTTTAACTTGACGTATAATCCAGAAAAGAGTGGGTAATCCATATTAGCTACAACAGTGAATTAGACGAACTTCCTAAGTTCAATCAATATTAAGATTTTAACGAAACATTATCGCACTTTAGAGTTTCTGGAACCTAAGTCATTAGAGTGAGACTCAAAACGTTCAGTCACAAAATGTTAATAAACCTAAGATTTTTACGCAACTGAAATTAAATGTGAATTTTGTTCTGACAATCACAAAATTGGTAACTGTAAAAGGTTCGCCAAGGAAGACGTAGTTAACCGTAGATGTTTTATTGAGAAGAAACGTTTGTGTTTCAATTGTTTTGGTCATCATGCAGCCAAGGTATACCAAAGTACTTTAAGCTGTAGAATTTGTAAACGCAAACATCATTCGATGTCTCATGATGAAGGTTCAGGTAGGTTTGGTGATGTGTCTTGTGGTTCTACTAGTGCTGAAGGGTCTAGTAAGGTTTTCGTTTCTCTGTCTGGTAAGGATGTTCACGGGTTCATCCATTAAAAAGATAATGGCATCATCCAGCTCAGTAGAAAGCGACACCTGTTATCACGTTAGTGTACGGTAAACATCGATAGTATCGATAGTAAATGGCTATCGATACTATCGATAGTTTTTAAAACTATCGAACGATTGTTTACTTGAGTACTACTTTTACATCCCTAGAGTCGAGGTATGCATGTATGTAGGTTATTCCCTGGCCATAGAGATAAAGGCGTAGACATTGAGATTGTTTTCTATGGTAGCGGAATTACCGTGCTTATATCATTCATTCAAAGGCGTAGACATTGAGATTCTTCTCTATGGTAGCGGAATTACCGTGCGTATATCATTCATTTACAAGACAAAAGTCAGTCAGTCAGTTTTTTTATTGTTGATGTTTGAAGTTGAGTGGAGTAACAAACAATTTAGAATTAAACAATAAAACATGAGTAGAAAAAAGACTAATGAAAAGTTTGCCAAGTGTTCTTTGTCTAAAAGAGAGTTTAAACTAAATGGAAATACTACGAACTTGATCGATCATACGAAGAGAAAACATAATGAGGTATGGATATGGTCATCCACTGTTTCTGTTACTTAAGATGTAGATACCACTGAGCAAAATGAGCAAATGGGCCCAAGCCCAAAAAAAGAGAAATACGCTAAAAAAATATTTTGATAGAAGCAGTAAATATAAAGATGGGAAAACAAAGCAAAATTTTGATAAAAAATACGTACGCATGATTGCTGTTGACATGGATCCTTTGCGAAAAGGAGAACATGAAGGATTTCGGGATTTTGTAAATGCTCTCGATAATAGATATGAAATTCCTGATACAACAACATTGAAGAAGAAATTACTGCCGAAATATTATGAAAACGTGAAACAGAAACTCGTCATAGCATTATCGAAAGCAGAACATGTTAGTGTGACTACTAATTTATGGACATCAATTGCAAATGAAAGCATACATTCAGTTGTCATTTCTTTTACAACGAAAAATTAATTGCACCATTATTGGAAGTCGTAAAGATGGAAGGAATTCACAACGCAGACAATATAGCCAATGTAAGTATTTTTAAATTTTATTACCTTGATAACTACCAATTCAGTGTTTCTTTATAATCAGACAAAACAATATTATTATTGTTTTCAGGTGTTGGATGCTACTATCTCAAAATAGGGTATCAGGTCCAAATGTGAAGCATTAACGACTGATAACGCTCAAACAATGATTAACGCCGCAGCCAAATCGCACATACGACATATACCCTGCTTCGCGCACACACTAAACCTGACGGTGACTGATTCGTTTGCTGTGACCTGCCTAGACCAGATTCTGTAAAAATGTAAATCAATTGTGACATTTTTCAAGATGAGTACTCTAGCCAGCGATAAATTACGGGCTATTCAACGTGAATTAAATAAAGCAGAACTGAAAGTGATCCAGGAAGTACCCACCCGCCGGAACAGTGCATACCACATGCTGCAAAGACTTGTTACAATGAAGACAGAATTAACTCTCACACTAAATGAATGTAATCGGGCTCCACCAGGAGTCAATGCTGACGAATACCTAATTATTCACGAAACAATTCAGATTCTGGAACCTTTCGATCTAGCTACGACAAAAATTTCCGGAGAAAGCTATATAACATTGTCACTGATAATACCATTGATTCGTGGAATAAAAACGAAATTACTAGAAGTTGAATCTAAAATTGTTACTGAAAGCGGGAAGAAAATGTTACTCTGCGTGAAGGGATCAGTTGACAAAAGACTAACTCCCTATGAAAACAGGACACCTGTTATACTTGTTACAATATTGGACCCCCGATTTAAGAAGAAGGGGTTCAAAACAAGTGACGACGAGAAGCGAGCTGGTCAGTCGCTGGAAAAGGCATATGCTAACCATTTAACTAAAAAACGCTTGGCTGTAGAAGAAACGCAACCAACACCATCCACGTCTTCAGGAACATCTAATGACCTGTTGGGATTACTAGACGTTCCGGACGTATCGACCCCTTTCAGTAACTCATTGGTTGATGTCAGGCAATATCTCGAGAAGCCAGTAATTGACAGAAAAGAGTGTCCTATAACATACTGGAAATACACCAACAATAAATTGTAGGAATTAGCGATGCTCTATCTCTGTATTCTAGCATCTTCTGTGCCTTCAGAACGGATCTTTTCGAAGGCCGGACAAATTTTAACCGAACGCAGAAATAGGTTAAAAGAAAAAAGATTAAACGAATTGTTGTTTATAAAACAAAATAGCTGCTATTTTAATGATTGATTTGTAACTATAATGATGATGAATGCTAATTTTTGATTGTTATTTCGAATATATATCAAAATAAAACTCTATTACTATTATTACTATTCTATTGATGTTACGCTAATTCTACAATTTTTTAAACTATCCATAGTCTATCGATACTATCGATAGTTTTTAGTAAAACTATCGATAATATCGGATTACCAAATTATCGATGTTTAACGTACAGTATATCACGTGCTACTAATCGAATCAGTTGCCAGTTAAATGTCAGATTCTGTTAGCCACAGCTCTGGTTAAGGCAAAGTCATCCAACGGAGAGCGTTATTTAATCCGAGCGCTGTTTGCTCAATGCTCCCAAGCCTGTTTTGTCACGGATGTGGTTGCTCAGTACTTGGGTCTTAAGAAGATGCCTGTACAGGGGGCCTACTACGTCTTATTCCGGTCTTATTGCCGGTCAGTTTAAGACCGTAAACTGAACTGCCTTGCTTTTTCGTACTACGAACGCGTCTTATTGCAGGCCAGCCTGTGATGACGTAACGAAACATTTCAGTGATTCAGTGGCCGGCAAGCTACCTCAACGTTTTAAATCGGTACTATGAACTCACTTTTGACGTTTGTAACAGAATTGTGACCCGTTTATTGAACAGTATAGCTGTCAGATTAAACACTTCAATAAAAGGTGCTTGGTGGGAGCTTTTTCTGAATCGTTTAATATTTTAATATTATAATAGTAAGTATTTCATGAACTCATACATGCTAAATTAGGTTTTTTGCTTTAAAAGTGATATATTATTTACATGTACGTCTTAGGGCGCGTTCCCATCGTGTCGTGACGACAGATAATCGTGTAGTTTTAAGTGTCGTGGCTTATATGTTTAAATGGAGGTGTTCACATTTAGAACGACACAATTTACTGTCGTCTACGACAGTTTTTGCAGTGACGACACTTTGTCGTGACAGTGGGAACGGCAAGCACGACAGTCGTAAAACGATAAAATCGTGGACGGCAACTCTATGTAGACGAACACGTGTTTTCCCTTCCCTCTCGCACCCGCGCGCCCCTCGCGTCTGTACTCGGTTTGCTTTGTGCGTGTTAGAACTTGTCAGACTCCTGCGCATGGTGGACGTATAACAATGGCTAATAATATAACACCGGAAGTTTTAATTCCACTTGTGGAACAAAAGGCTGTCCTTTGGGACAAAACTTTAGACATTTATAAAGACAAAGGTTTGAAATTAGCCGCGTGGAGAGAAATTTGTTGCGTTTTTGAACCTAATTTTGACAAGTTGGAGGAAAAGGAAAGAAAAGATTTCGGTAAGTTTCTGAAACTTTTTATTTATTATGATACATGTGCTGTAATATTTTGCCAAGGTACGGAGCCTATTTCAGATACAAAATAGTCGGAAAATTGTAAGCGCACTGCGTTTCCACCACCTTCGTTTGAACGCAGCTGTGTTGCAGGCATGTTTACCAGGGGCATAACGGTTGGGGTATTCTCCAAGTATATAGCGTCTTTTTTTATTAAAAAATTATGTAATACCATACAAGCCTTTACAACTTCAATAGCTGTTTCTGCACATACATCCAATGGTCTATGCAAGATCCTCCATTTATTGGATAAGATACCAAAAGTGCATTCAACATATCATCTCGCGCGGCTTAGACGGTAATTAAATATCTTTTTCTTATTGTCTAAATGAGTACCGCCATAAGGTCGCAATAAATTTTGTGACAATGTAAAGGCTTCGTCTCCAACAAATACATATGGTATTTCTTCTTGCATATTTTCGTGTAATGGCGTGGGTCTTGGTATATTTAAAGTACCATCATTTAGTTTCTTCCAAAAATTGTATTGTTTTAGGATAGATGAATCACACTCTTTTCCGTATGAACCAATACTAACGTAAATGAAACGGTAATCTGAATCAACAATTGCAAATAAAATAAAAGAAAAATAATCCTTATAGTTAAAAAACATAGAACCACTATTTATTGGCTTTGTAATCCTTATGTGCTTGCCGTCCAGCGCACCGAGGCAATGAGGAAAATTTGCTTTCGTTTTAAAAGCTTCAGCGATCGCTTTCCATTCTTCTTCGATATTGGGCAACTTTAAATATTCTGCACTTAATACGCTCCAAATAACAGAACACGTTTCTTTGATTATTTTGCTGATGGTTGACATTCCCACTCTAAAATTATAATGCATTTGTTTAAACGAACATCCCGACGCCAAATATCTGTAAATAAATACAACAGCTATTATAATACGCTTATATTCGAGGACCAATGCCCTAACATTATAATTATGTATAAACATATAATCAGTCTAATACGTAGTCCCTTACTTGTTCACGGAAACATCCGGGGATACTAGTGGAAAAACTCGATCTTAGTATAGTTTTTTAAACTCTGAAAAACGTGCAGATGTTTGCGTGAACAATAATTTAACTACGTATTAGACTGATTATATGTTAATACATATAATGTTAAATCTATACACAAACAAATTTTAATTTTAAGTCTATTTTACTTTTACAGCTACACAGATATCTACAAAGTGGACACATATTCGAGATGCATTTATGAGATCCCTGAAAAATGAAAAAGAAAAAAAGCGATCTGGTGCAGGCGCAAAAACTACTAGGCCGTATGTTTATAAGAATCAGCTGTCTTTTTTATTAAAAGTTACTGAGCCCCGTATGACCTCTGATTCATCTAATGAGCCTAATAATTCTATCTCTGATACATTAAGTGATGCAGCACCTTCTACTCAAAAGAAAACTAAGACTGACACATTAGATGATAAAATGTCACAATTTCTAGATTATAAATTAAATAATCAAGAACACCCACATGTGTCCTTTATTAAAGGAATTTTACCATCTTTGGCATCATTCGACAATGATGAAAATTTTGAATTCCAAACGGGTATTATGCAACTGATTGAAAAAATTAAAAAGAAACGCCTTCGTAATAATTTATATGATACTTATGCAAACTATGGTGACTACCAAAACCATTTATCACAACCGACAGGATAGTTTACACAAGATCCAGGTGCATCAACTTCAACTAGCAATCAAGTTATGGAACCGGCTGCATCACCAAATTCAGTCTATACTAATTTGTCCGATAGCACACAAGATTCTTTTAATTTTGACAATATATAATTTAAAGATGTATTTACTTATAAAACGTGTAACTCTAAAATAAATCTCTAAATAAATAAATGTATACAATAATAAAGAATTTTCATTTTATTTACTTACCTTAAAGTTATCACTAGTCTTTCTTCGGCACTTATACAATTTCTGAAATGTATGTTTTCTCTTCTAAGATTGTCTGCAAGTCGTGCCAGTAGGCTATCAAAGGTGGAGACAGTCATTCTTAAATACTCATAAAACTTTCCATCATCACTTTTTAATTCTTCTATATAACTCTGACATAATCCTAATGGAATTCTTTTCATTAACATTGGATGTACCCAGTACTTTCTTTTCATTTCTTGCTTCATTTTCCTTCTTTTCAAAAAGTAATACATTATTAAAATTTCATCTTCGTCCATTGAACTCAGGAGAGTAAACGCACTAGTAATCACCATGCGAACGTAGAGGCGACTAGATTTGTAGCTTGCTGATGATGCGAGCGATCTGAGCGATCCAATGGGAACAGCTAGATACGACAGTCGCTAAACGATAAAAAATGTTGACGACAAACAATCGTTATAATGGGAACAGGTAGAGACGACAGTCGTCGAACGATAAATTAGTCGTTACGACATAGTGGGAACGCGCCCTTAAAGTTCTCTAATATTTGTGCATTAATTTCAGTGTCTGATGAATACGAAATTTTTAAGTTCCTCGAAGAGGACAACAAAAGCAAAATTGTGGAAGACAAAATTGAAAGGGCAATATTACGCAGCCAAATGGACTCGTTTTCGATTGATGACGATGAATTCATAAAAAGATATCGCTTAAGCAAAAACTTAGTGTTGGAACTTTGTGATGATTTAAGACCTTTTATGACAAAGCCTGCTAAGTTTACTGATTTGTCGATCGAAACCAAGGTTGAGTATTAGTTAAATTATTCATCACTAGTAAAAAATTACTAAGTGATATTTAATGTAGTTTTAGAAAAAATTCATACTCATCTTTTCTTATAATTATTTTAGATCTTAATTCCACTGTCTTTTTATGCCACGGGATCGTATCAGCGACCCATTGGGGAAATAGCTGCTCACTCCGTGCCACAACAGACAGTATCAGCTGTTTTAGGTCAAGTAACGCAGGGCCTAAACATGCCTCAATTGAGGTCAAAATATATAAGATTCCCGAGAGATGCAGCACAGCGTAGGGCTAACATTTTAAGGTAGGTAACCAATTTAATATTTAATTTTAACTGATTATAATAACAACCACTCTATGAACCATAGAGCTTGAATAATATGCTCATTAGTACTAATATTTGTTAGTTGCATTAGTAACATGGGTAATGCAATATTTACCACTATATCATGCAACAAGGTTAGCAGAGACTTATATATAAGTGATTAAATGTCTTTGCAGATTTTACAACAAATTTGGGATGCCTGGAGTTTTAGGCTACATTGACTGTACACATGTGGCAATGGTCCGTCTTTCAAAAAATGAAGAGAGATATTACTGCAGAAAACAATATCATTCTTTAAATGTGCAATTGGTAAGAAGTATTGTAATAAAACCACAAATTTAATCAAAATATTTTATTGATAAATAAAATATTTACTTAAACCCTTTGAATTATTATGTGTTGTTAAAAATAATTTAAAATCAATATTTTAGATATGCAATGCAGATATGGATATTATCAGTGTGGATGCAAGCTATGGAGGAGCTTCTCATGATGCTTTTATATGGTCTAATCACCCTTTGAAGGCACACAAGAGGAAGACCTCAGCACAAATGAGGCAATATGGTTTCTTGGTAGGGACTTTACATAATAAAAATATATATACAAAAAAGTGGGTTATAATTTGGCCAAACTTTTATTATTTAGTACTTTTTTACAGGTGACTCTGGGTATCCCTTAAGAAGATACTTAATGACACCCATTGTTGATGCTCCCCCAAACACCCCCGAAGCATACTACACTGACATGCATGTGAGAGCACGTAATGTAATTGAGCGCACAATTGGACTAATGAAAGCACGTTTCAGATGTCTACTAGTGCACAGAGTGTTACATTATGAGCCTCACATGGCAGCTTCTATTGTAAATGCATGTGTGATATTGCACAACATATGCAATAAGGCTAATGTGAGTGTAGAAGAGCTCCAGCCAGAGGAAGCTTTGCGGGATTATGAATTGCAACAGTTGACTACTCCTCGCCAGGATTCTGCAGTAAATTCTAGGGCCGCACAAAATCCAGAGCTTCGAGAGGGGATTACGGTTAGAAATAACCTTATCGATCGCCTCTGGACAAGTCGGAGTGCAACCTAAAATTTATTTGTTTTTAAAACTATTGTTCTTTTGTTTTCATTTTTAATTAGATTTATATAGTTATTGTGTTGCTTTTTTATTTAAGATTATTAACAATGTATATATTTTACTCAGATATGATTTGTGATATATTTTACTCAGAAATAAATGAATAAACTTTTATAGTTGTAATCACTACAATGTAAATACTCGAAACATTTCTAATGGAAAGTTTAATTTATTATAGCCTGAATTGTGATGTATGATTAAACAGTTGTTTCTTTGTAAATTTAGTATTACCACAAATGTTTAGTAATGTAATCACATTTCGCCTTAACTCTTAACCAAACCACACAATCCCATTAAAATATTACGTTACGAAGGGTGTTTACATTTAAAATGGACATGGTAACTAAGCTAATTTATTACCCACTTGACACACAAACACAGCTCATATTATAAGAAATTCTCAAAAAGAGCATACAAACTAAATTTCGCCTCGACTTAAGTGACTTTACACCATCAATCACATCTCAAATTGAAAACACATTGGCTTTAGTTCCTCGTCGTCATTGTAAATTTATAAACAAAACTCGAAGAAACAATAAAAAAATGTTTTTTGTTTCTACGAGTACTACCTAGCTCATTTCAAGTGGTAATAATTTAATACATTGTTAATTTATCTAGTATTAGAGAATTACAAGAATATGGGTTTCACTTTAAGACTGACCTTAAAATTAAAGAGATAAACTTATGTAACATTTGTATAGCGTCTCACTCGAACGGTTAGCCAAAACAAGACAGAGACAAGAGAGAGAGAGAGTGAGCAAAGCCGTCGCTAGTCATTATATGGGTTTAAAACTGTTGAGCTAAGCGTAGTTCATAGTACCAAATAAAGCATTTCAGTTTAAGGTCAGAAACTGAACTGCTCGGAACTTGCCAAGTTTTACAAACACTTCGTAGTAGGCCCCCAGGTGCGTATATCCGGATTGGAAGTTAACGACCACATTGCTGTTAAATATATGGTAAAGTTGAAGGTACATTCTAGGTTTGATTCCACCAGTGATAACTTTTGCCGTGTAGTGGCGGTTAAGAATATCCACTACCCCATATCTTCCCGTGGGTGTCGTAAAAGGCGACAAAGGGAAACAGGCAGGAGATGGGCAGCAGCATCTACCTGATAATAGCCAAAATAACAATAAAAAACTGCGGTTGCCAACCCGCTCGCCAAGCGTGGCAACTATGGCAATATACCCCCCATGAGCAATGACAATAATAAACGGCCCCTAGTCCCCGGCGGCCCCGCTATTCCTGGCTACGGTGGCGACCATGGTAACGGCGGGGCAGGGGGTGCTAAGAATCTCCGGTGGAGGTTCGGTTGCCACCTACGACGACTCGACCTGGCAACATACAACGCACGCACCCTGAGGACTGACGAGAAGATTGTGGAGCTGGAAGAAGAGATAGACAAGTTACGCTGGCATATTATAGGATTATCCGAAGTCCGAAGAGAGGGGGAGGACACGGTAATCCTCGAATCCGGCAACTTGCTCCATTACCGGGAGGGCGACCATCTGTCCCAAGGAGGTGTCGGATTTATCGTCCACAAGTCTCTCGTTAACAACGTTGTAAAGATAGAGAGTGTGTCGACGAGGGTTGCGTACCTTATACTCAGAATCACAAAAAGGTGTTAATGGGAGACTTCAATGCAAAACTAGGCACAAGAGAGAACGGTGAGCTGAAAGTAGGGAAATTTGGAATAGGGCAACGGAACCCAAGGGGCCAGCAGTTGGCTGACTTCATGGAGAAAGAGGGACTCTTTATGATGAACTCTTTCTTCCAGAAGCGGCCCCACAGGAAGTGGACCTGGTCGAGCCCCGACGGTTCGACAAAAAATGAGATTGACTTCATTATGACGACCAGACGACAACTGTTCAGTGATGTCTCAGTGATCGCGAGGGTGAAAACCGGCAGCGATCACCGAATGGTTAGAGGCACACTGAACCTAAACGTTAAGTTGGAGAGGTCTCGTCTAATGAAGTCAACGCTCCGTCCCCCTCGTGCTCTAATCCAAAGTCCCGAAACCTTTCAGCTCGAGTTACAAAACCGTTTTCAGTGCCTAGAAGACTGCAATGAAGTGGACGATTTGAATGACAAGCTCGTGGAAACTGTCCATGCGGTCGGAGCTAAGTTCTGCAAGACCCGCCGCAGAAGAACACAAAAACTCTCCGATCACACTCTTAATCTCATGGCTGTTAGACGGGAGATGAAGCTACATTCTTCAACAGATTTAACAGCATACAGGCAACTGAACAGACAGATCTCCAAATGCATGCGGCGGGACTTACGCAACTTCAATACAGCTCGTATTGAAGAAGCGATCGAGCGGAACCAAGGCTCCAAAGTCTTTGCCAGAGATCTGTCCGCCAGAAAGCGCCAACTGTCAAAGCTGAAGACAGAGTGTGGCAGCATCGTTTCCGGGGCACCTGAGATTTTGAGTGAGATTGAGAGGTTCTATGGGCAGCTGTACACGTCATCGTTGGAGCCGCACGCAAGTGTGAGTAACGATCCAAGAGCGAGTCTTATCCGACATTATTCCGATGATATCCCGGACGTCAGTCTGAGCGAGATTAGAATGGCTCTCCAGCACCTTAAAAACGGCAAGGCCCCAGGCGAGGATGGAATTACAGCGGAGCTTCTGAAAGCGGGTGGAAAACCGGTACTTGAAGTCCTTCAGAAGCTCTTTAATTCCGTCCTCTATGGTGGCATTACACTGGAGGCGTGGAGCAGAAGTGCGGTGGTCTTGTTCTTCAAGAAAGGCGACAACGCTCTCTTGAAGAACTACAGACCGATTTCCCTTATGAGCCGCGTCTACGTACTGTTTTCGAGAGTCATTACGAATCGTCTCGCGCGCAGACTTGACGACTTCCAGCCTCCCGAACAAGCCGGTTTCCGAAAAGGCTTTAGCACCATAGACCACATACATACCCTTCGGCAAATTGTACAGAAGTCCGAGGAGTACAATTTGCCACTATGTCTGGCGTATGTGGACTATGAGAAAGCCTTTGATTCCGTCGAAATTTGGGCGGTGCTGCAGTCCCTTCAGCGATGCCAAGTTGACTGTCGGTATATCGAAGTGTTGAAGTGCTTGTACAGTAGGGCTACGATGGCTATCCGAGTACAGAACCAGAGTACGAAACCTATCCAATTGCAGAGAGGTGTAAGACA